TACTATGTTAGAAGTTACGTTGCGAGAAGTTTTATGATTATGCACATCATGACAATGCAAAAATTGTTAAATAAATAATAGTAAAACTTTTTGTATTGTGTATTTAGGTACTTCTTGATCAATTAAGTGGTTATCAGAGGTCGCAGAGTTGGTCAGTGACGTGTTATAGAACGTCATTGATTCCTCTTTTTCTGCTGTATAATGATGGTAATAATAACGACTGATAACAGCGAATGTGTAATCTAACAAAATAATAAAATGAGCAAGTGCTAATGCTGTTACTCAACAAACACAATCAACGAGATTGATAAATAAATAAGTAATTTATGATACAATTATGTATGTCGTTTAGCCGTTTCAGAATAAGTGAAACTTGTAAACAATAACATTATTCTCTTATGTACGCAAGATAGTTTACTAACAATCGGTTGTCTAAATGTAAATCATCGTACGTATCATTAGCAATTATTTGTCAATATTTATAGGAATATGTAAACTATTTGTATTTATACGGCTTATGACTGGCTATAACATATACAAAACACACACAGCAAATAATGTACATATATACAAAAAAACTGAATTTTATTCCAATTAAACTGTTAGGCCAGGTAATTATTAATAAAAAAAAAACATGACGTACACACAGAAAAATAGTTTCCCCTAAACATTTTTGCTATTATACAAATCTTATCATCATCATAAGGCCGTCAGTCCTAAGACTGGTTTGACACGCACCTCCACTTTTTCTATCTTGAGCTAATCTTTGCGTTTCCCTAAAATTAGAACAACCCATATCCTTAACTTTTTGCGAACAATAATCTAAGTCTACCTCTACCCTTCCTAACCTCCGTTTCTGCCTCTAATATGTCTCTGACTAGACCTTCATGCCTAAATAGGTGTCCTACCACCTCGCCTATTTCATATTACCTTCCATAGAGTTCTATGTTCTCTCACTCTTTCTAATACCTCTTCATTTCTAACCTTCTCTATCCACGGTATCCTCATCATTCCCCTGTAACATCATATATTTCGAATGCTTCTAACCTATTCCGCCATCTGTTTACTGTCCATGTTTCGCACCCGTACAGCGCCGCGCCCCAAACACACCTTTAACAAACCTTTTCGAATTTCTAAATCAATTAATCGTTCGGGGCATAGAAGTGACTTCTTTTATTGAAGGCGACTCGACCCTGTGTTATCCTCTGTTTTATATCCCTACTACTCCTTCCGTTCTAACTTTTCTAATTTTTTCGTCTTGCTATCTTTATATAAGCTATTTTTGTCGATTTTCTAAAAAATGCCTTCACAAATCACTCCAATTAATAATGAAGTATCAATATTTCAAATAATATCTGAGTTTGTACAATAGCAATGTCCACACCTGGTGAAAATTCCTACACACCCGCGACTAACACCCTGACTAAAGCGTGTCATGTACGTAATTCTTTTTATTGTTCGAATGGTCTTCTACATTACAATTTCGTCGTATTGGATCGATAAGAAAAGCAAAAGCCGACACTTTTATGATTATTAATTATAAATGTATCACCTTCGTATGTACATGCAGATACGGACTGCATCAAGTTGTCGTATTCTCATAAGTTTCACGTTACATTTGCAATGTTTATGTAAGGTTCTGATACGTTACTAGGAAGTTTGTTTAATTGTTGTTTTGACATTTGATAACGAGGCCCACCAAACAATAGGCACTACTTAAATAATGGTCTCGATATCCTTTGAACTGTAAACGATAACTTAATGAAATAATCATTAAATCAAATAAATACAAATACCAACAACGAACGCCAAACGGCACAAAACTTGTTAGTGTTCGTTTATTTTATCAGTTAAAAATAAAACTGATTTGATGTAAAAAAAATTACCTACCGTAAAATTATTGAGAGATTGTGTTTACGTCACCGTCATGGACTGTAATGGCAATTGTAGGTACCTACCCACATAATTGTCTAAAAAAAATTTAGCAGCAGAATATTGTCTTTATTTCGGTCTCATAAATAATTTATAGAAAGTCCATAAAGCCAACTGGCCGCAAAAAAACAATTTCATAAAATACGAGGTTACGTTAATTGTAGTTATTATTTTTTATAATAAAATGAGATAAATCTGAATAAAACATATAAGAGGAAGAAACGGAAGTTAGGAAGGGTAGAGGTAGACCTAGTTTAGATTACTGTTCACAAATAGTTAAGGATATGGGTTTGCTAAAGCTTTAGGGAAATGCGAAGATTAGCGCAGGATAGGACTACTTGTAACTTACGTAGCGTTCAATTGACATTATAGGCCTTTGATAAATTTTAATTGTGTGGCAAAAATAAAGATGGTTAATTTTCAGTTAGATCTTTTTAGAAGTTTTGCCTTTTTTGCATAGTGACTACTATCGGATTACACTCGATAATTGTAAGATGAAGAACATAAGTCATACGACCCACGTTATTCTCTCCTTATGATATGAGGCAAAATTTACGAAAGAAGCCAAGTTAGACACAATAACAAATTTCACCCCCTTTAGTTTACTACCCAAAAACTTTACTTCTAATGCGTAACTTACGTTTTAAGCATAAATCTAATTAATTGTCAACTGTCTTGGATGTCTAATACGTATGATTTAATTTTAATTAATTGGCTCATTTGATTAGTAACGAGTAGGTAGAAGTGTTTTTTAAAAAAAGAAAAAAATGCTCGTAATACATTCCGTTTTATTCGTGTTTGATTTACAGTTTTTCTCCGTGATATAATAAATTGTTCTTAACTTTATAACGCCTGATTACAATTACAAGAAATAAAAAAGTTTTTTTTTTTTACGTCTTTTACTGGCTCATGTACATTACGACAAGCACGCCCGGGTCTAATTGCCTGCCACCTTTGTTTATAGCCGTAATTAATTGACAATGGTACAATCTACGACCCACGGACAACTTTTCATAAGTTTAGCGACAATAAACTAACTTTTCTTCTCACGATGATAATAATACCTAAAATATATGCTGGCGTTTATCTGAATTTTATATGAAAACATACTTTTTAACATTTAAAGGATATATTTTATACCTAGATATCAGGTTTAGATTTTACTGCAAATTACAGTAGTAACGAAGAAAAAAAATCCCCAAAAAAGTTATTTACATAACACGATTATTATTTCGCCTTTTATTATATACTTTATTCACGGTGAATTTTGTGTCCCCTTTTCTAGCACCTGTCGCGCATCGTTCATCCTATACGTATGCAGATGCGCTGTAACATTACACCGATTCTCTCTTTCCTAAGTGATCTATTTATCTTCCTGCCCTCTTATAAAGACATTTATCCACAGTTTTAAAAGCACGGCTGACGGAAAACACTCGAAAATCGGAAATTACACGCCGACGAGAACGGAAACAGAAGTTTCAATAATAAAGCTCGAAGCTGAAAAATGTAAACTATTATTTTAAATTACCTATAGAAACGTTGTTTTTGATGAACTGATGCTGTCTTGATTCGGGTCTAAAGGTCTGTCGTCGGTTCCTAACGTTTCGCTAGCACGAAGTGGCGGAAGTTCTTTAGAGGTTGGATCCACCATAGGAGATGGAAGAACCTCTGAAGAAGCTCACCACGTTCGAATGCAACTCCAACCGACAACACACGTTTAGACCCAAATCAGGACATCATCAGTTTACCTACTTGCCCCGAAAACCTTTACAAATTAATTTTTGATATTGTACGGCACAAATTTTGAATAAATGATCGGTAAATAACAAAAAAATCTACACAAAAAGGAACAAAAACTCGTAAACCAAAGTTGAAAACTTCTTTTACCCATTTTCTGAGTTNTCGGTTCCTAACGTTTCGCTAGCACGAAGTGGCGGAAGTTCTTTAGAGGTTGGATCCACCATAGGAGATGGAAGAACCTCTGAAGAAGCTCACCACGTTCGAATGCAACTCCAACCGACAACACACGTTTAGACCCAAATCAGGACATCATCAGTTTACCTACTTGCCCCGAAAACCTTTACAAATTAATTTTTGATATTGTACGGCACAAATTTTGAATAAATGATCGGTAAATAACAAAAAAATCTACACAAAAAGGAACAAAAACTCGTAAACCAAAGTTGAAAACTTCTTTTACCCATTTTCTGAGTTTTTCAATAATTTGGACAATCAAAGTATCAATAATAATATATGTTTTAGCAAACAGTTTTGGTAGATGCTTTTTTTGGTTTAATTGAATCGGTCTTCACTTGATGAAGATCGAGCTACATGTTGAATATAATAAAAGTTAAGGGTTAGTAATCTTTACTATTTTTTTATTAGTATTTGTGTGACCGCTGTGATTTCTGGTCAGCAAGGATAGTTTGAAATTAGTCTGAAGAAGACGCAGTGTACTGAAACAGCTGTCACAGAATTAAAAATAAAAAAAATAGTGAAGATTACCAACGCTTGGCTTTTATTACCTATACATATTCAGTATATACCGCAACCTTCATCAATGAAGAAAAAAGCATCTACCAAAACTGTTTGTCAAAACTTATATCGTCACTGATACTTTGGTTGTCCGTATTCTTTACTATATGAATCCTCATTACATTACATTCTGCCTCACCAGCGTTCAGTTAAATAGCGCTGTTTTCTTAACTGCCTGGCCGTATTAGAAAACGCCAATTTTTTTGGAACGGTCGCAACATTATGTTTCTATGTCCACGTATTAATGTCGTTCTTGTGTTTTTTAGTGTGACACACAGGTACGTGTCAAAACGAGCGGTTTTCGTGTTCGGGACATTGCACCATTGCCACCAGACGCAAATCCAGCACGAAATTTCTATTTATGACCGCAGGTTTAAACAGACTATTAACCTTAAATGGTTTTCGAATATACTACTCGTAGCTACGAAATTTTACTTTCCGACTACTATTTTTTTTGGAAAACTAAGTACCTACCAATATTCTCTCCTACTTATCATTAAAATATAAAGTTTTTTATCGTCAAATAAACTTACATGCACCATGAAGGTGAATTGAGGAAATGGCTGATGTAAATGAGGGTAGTGTGTAGTTATTTACTCCCGGTTCACTCTTAATTTTCTGAATTTCTCCGTTGAACTTGACTATCTCCTGCAAAAAAAAAAAAACAAAATCACATTAAGTATACATAGATGTAGGGTAATATATAGAAAAAAAAAATGTGATACATCGACTAGGAATTGGACCAGAGACTCATCGAATGCATATGAATTGTTCTGATTGTAACAATTTTAGGTTTTTGGTTGTTTTAATTCATTTTTTCAAAAGTTTGAGTTAATTCATTTTATTTAATTTGGTCGAATTGATTGATTAATTAATTGAGTGTGGTAGGTCTATAATTAATCCTTCTACTAATCTGTATCGCACTATATAAATGACAACAATATTCGTTGTGATAACGCTCCAGTATTATTACTTCGCTAATCGTGTAATTGTATATTATATTAATATTATGTTGATGAACTTCGGTGGCATGGGAGACGAAAGAGCAGGCATTCAGATTCACGATCAGGATCAGTATGTAAGTACCGTCCGCGTTCGTGTTAAAGAATAGCTTCGCAATGTAACTTTTTGATAAAAATAGCGACAACGCGAATTTTATAAGACATAAAATGAGTTGGCAAGTCAGCTGAAAAATCCATTTGTCTTAAATACCTTTCGTACCTATAATAAAAATTTTATGAGTTACAATCAGTACAAACGAGTATTTTAATATTACAACCTGCCTAATAACTTACATGTAAACTGCTCAAAATAATTAGATATTTTTTAACTTTTTAATATTACCGCATATATTACATATAGAGATATGATTTGTTTGAAATGGTACTATTTGAGATACAAAATGCAAAAGACTTATTTTTGTTTTTTATTTTAAAAACGCCTTTTGTGTTTTGTGGATAGTTTTTAAACGTGTCTACTTATTTGAAAATGTTTACTAAATGATGTAAATTGCAGTCGATTCAAATTGATTTGAACCATTCAGAACCGGGCAAAAACCTCATTAAAACTGATGTAGTCCTTGAAACCCTAATTACACTTCAAAATCGAAGGACTTGGAATTGTCAGTTATTTCGAAAGAAATTAGATTCAAATCCGTAAGAAATTTGAAAATGTTTGAAGCACTTTTTTGCAGTAAGTTGTACTTGTTCATGAAATAGCTTGAAATACATTACTGCCAAGCCCTGAAGGCACATTTTCAAGCATAAAGTACCTAAGGCTTCGGCCTGCTCTGATTCTATTACAGAGTTATAAATGATTGTATAACACAATTTGACTCCAATAGAAACATAGCCATTTTGCCAACTAAAGATAAGATTTTTTTGCGGAAATGATATAGTAATTATCTTATTATTGTTAGCGAGTTACGTACGTTACGAGAATAGGTTTAAAACAACAATAATATGTATACAGGGTTTATATTTTATATATCGGAATGAACAAAGAAAGCATCTTACAACTGTGACTGTAATATTAACATTCGACAATCCATACATCCAAGTCCAAACAAACAATCTTCATGTTAAAATAATTAAGATAAAACCTGCCTACCCAGTCAGAACTACAGTTTATCCTGAAATCGGGTTTAGCTGGTTAGTAAGTCATTTATAAAATAAGTCACTTAAAATTTCGTTTTTTGAGAACTCGCCCTTCGTCACGTTGGACTGTGCAAAATTCTCACCAGCACTTCCAAAACTCTAAGCTCAAAGCTCTCACTTAATATATTTTAGTCCTTAAAGCCACAGTTACGAGGGTGGATTGATAAGTTTCCGGCCTAACCAAGAGATGACGCCACTAGGCCTACCTTGAGGTGACATTCTATAGTACCATCCTTGGATAGCTTGTAGCTATAGTTTCAGCCCGATCTCCTTGCTAGTGTAGGTTTGACAGCACGCTGAACAAGACGCCTCTGTGGTTTTCGTAAAAATGGAAAAGCAGGAAAATCGTGCTGTCATCAAATACTTTTATTTGAAGGGGTTAACGCCGAAGGAAATTAAAAAAGAGATGGACTCAACACTGGGGACATCCTCCCCGTCATATTCAACCGTTAAGCAGTGGGTTTCCGAGTTTAAAAAGGGTCGTGTGAGCACCTCTGATGGGCCTCGCTCAGGACGCCCCGTTGAGGTCACAACTCCAGATATGATCGAAAAAATTCATCAAATAGTGCTGGGAGACCGCAGATTGAAAGTGCGTGAGATAGCTGAGACCTGTAAGATGTCATATGAACGTGTGCAACATATTTTGCACCAACATTTGCATATGGAAAAGCTCTGTGCAAGATGGGTGCCGCGTTTGCTAACAGTCGACCAAAAATTGATTCGAAAAAACATTTCTACCGCAAATTTGTCATTGTATAAGCGTAATCCAAGCGAATTTTTGCGTCGATTCGTAACCGTTGACGAAACGTGGGTCCACCACTACACTCCTGAAACCAAAGAACAGTCTAAACAGTGGATTGGACCAGGGGAACCAACTCCAAAGAAGGCAAAAACAATTTTTTCGGCGAACAAGGTTATGGCTACTGTTTTTTGGGATGCAAGAGGTATTATATACATTGATTACCTTGCAAAGGGTAATACTATCACTGGTCAATACTACGCAGACTTATTGCAACGTTTGAGCCACGAGGTGAAAATTAAACGACCTCATCTGGCGAAGAAAAAAATCTTGTTTCATCACGATAACGCACCAGCGCACACGTCAATCGTTGCGACGGCTAAAATCAACGATCTAAAGTTTGAATTGATGCCGCACCCTCCTTACTCTCCAGACCTAGCCCCGAGTGACTATTTTCTGTTCCCTAATCTCAAAAAATGGCTTGGCGGTAAGAGATTTGCGGACAATGAAGAAGTAATCGAAGCTGTAAATGGTTATTTTGAGGAGCTTGACGAATCAGTCTATAGAGATGGCATTAATAGACTGGAACACCGCTATGAGAAATGTATCAGCCTTGGAGGAGATTATGTTGAGAAATAAAAAAAAAAAATTTTTAAAAACCTTGTTTTTCTTGGTCAGGCCGGAAACTTATCAATCCACCCTCGTACATTTTAAAATCGAGTGAAAGAGTTTGAAGCCCTATGAACTACAAAATACAAAGCACCTGATACATCTACGTACAAATGCGACCAGTTTTTGGGTAGTTTTATCGATTCGAGATGACTTATTTCAACTTCAGACTAAAAAAGATCCCCGGAGTTGCTCGTGTTATATGTTCAAGAGAGATCAGGATGTTATTTACCTAATTATGTTAGTTTTTAAATTGTTGTGATCATGAATACCATTAAATATCAATTAATGCAAGGGCTGACTTTCTTGAGGATACCTACCTGCAAATATAGATGCGTAATTACTAATTAGGAAAATGGTGCGGCTCTAAGCAGTTACATGTGACATTAAGAAAAATAGCATTAATTCGCTCATATTCGAGAACTTATAATAACAATTGAATTGCTTTTTACTTAGGTAAATTATACCTGCCTACCAACGCTAATTGTTTTTTCACTAGCATGAAGGTGTAAAAGTGTTATCGACGTATTATCTTCAGTTCAATGGAAAATTATAAAGTCATAACGTTTTAAATACTTATATCTTTATTTTGTCTTTATAGCCACTTGGCCATAATATGACGATTCAATACATATTAACCTACCATCGTATAACTACGTGCATCCAGGTGTAAAACGATTGTACCTACATGATTCTACTGCGGACTCCATGACAAAAAAAATGATAATCTCGCCATTCAATTCGTTCTACGTAAAAAAACGATTATCAGTATTGGTAACTTCGATTATGGCATTCAATGAAACAAAATTAAATCCGTGAAATATGTTTTTATTTATTTTATGTTTGCCTGTATGTAATGGTCTAATGGTACAATTAAATGAAAGAGAACGTATTTCAAGTAAACATAAGTATGCACATCCCTAGCATTTTTATTACCAGTTGTTCATGCTGTTCTGATTCGGGTCTAAAGGCCGTCATGTGTTTGAGTTGTTTCCTAAAGTTTCGCTAGTGGTTCACATCCAGCATCAGATATAGAAGGACCTCTCGTGCTAGCGAAACGTTAGGAAGTAACTCCAACACACAACAGCCTTTAGACCCGAATCAAAACAGCATCAGTTCACCTACTTGCCGCGAAAGCCTTTACCAATTTGTCAAAGCAATTATTGATTAAACTAGATTAATATTAATAAATAGGATACAGTGCTATACTTGTGATTTTACATTGTCATCTTTAAGGAACTCGAAGTGTTTGGGGTTGTATGGGTCACAAATTGGTTACGTTACAAAATTCCATATGAAACACTAAAAAATCCCTAAAGATCCCACAGAATTATTGTTGATAAAATTCGATAGCCCTGCCTCCAGTTCCCCAGAGGTGTTACAATTGCAACAGCTGAAAGGAGTTTTTCAAAAAATCCCAAACTGATTAAAAAGTATTTTTTATTGGGGCAAAAACGACTATCGCACTTATCAATACTCTCGATAGAATGAAAATCTAACTAATAAAAAGAATACACTGATAACATTAAATGCTACTCTCATTTTCGATGACGCCCGAAAGGACCTTTGTCTTAAGAGTTATTCAGGACTAATAAAAAATGCAGAAATTTCGGCGGCATACATCAAACGCGCCTGCATGTTATTGCTTATTACAAGGAGTCTGCACTTATTTCACAGATCATCGCCGCATAATATGATTAGGTACAAAAGGTGGTCTGTTGGTACATGATACGCGTAAACGAACCACTTATTGGTCATTGTCATTACGTTCAGAAAATCAACTTCTTTTACATATGTACAGCTTGGAATCAAAGATATCGAAAACTTGAAATAAAGGATACACAAAATTTTTAAATACAGTTTTTTAAAGGAAAAAAGGGGACGTAGCCATTTAAAATACGTAATGGAATTTAGTTAATTTTGCAAATACATCAAATAATTCACATCTCTATATTACAAATTAATATGGCAGACAAAAATTACAAAAAAAAAAAACGTGTACGATTTGATTGTAAGGTTTTGCATTTTTTTTTTTATCAGAAAGTCAGCTACAAATCGTACATTTGTATTTAGCTGTTGTAGGTACAATAAGAATAATGTTTTATAGCAATATAGCAATTAGTCAGTCATAGTCATGCGACCAAATTAAAACATACAAGCGACGTACAAATAAACAAACAAGTGTCAACAAATTTGTGTGTAGAAGAAATAAAAAAAATTGTATGTAACAGTTTAATAAACATTCCAATTTCAGTATTAAATATAACATTTGATAAGGGCATGCAATAACGAACAAATTTTACGAGCTGACGTCACTGAGGCATTATACACACTGTAGCTACCCGTGTGGATATTACCTGTACATACAGTAATCTGATCGAGCCATTGTAATATTTTCTAAGAATTGCGACTTCTTATATCTACAGGTATATATTATATTTTAATACACATACCTACCACACATGAATAATGTACATTTTTATTTAAGTACAAAGTCGACGTATTATTCTCGCGCTTTGACGTGGTGCATAAGCAGAAATAACCCTAATAAGGACACTCTTCTATACAGTGTCCTTCAAACGCCACTGTCCTTGATCATAATTTTGGCGGATCTCTGGACAAATGCCCCAAATACCATTATAGATAATTTTTTAGTTTTCACGGATAATAGGCGAGATACGCTGGTAGGACACGTTCTCAGGCATGAAGGTCTAGTCACAGACATATTAGAGGCAGAAACGGGAGTTAGGAGGGGTAGATGTAGACCTAGATTAGATTACTGTTCGCAAATAGTGAAGGATGTGGGTTGTTCTAGTTTTAGGGAAATGCGAAGATTAGCTCGAGATAGAAAAGGGTGGAGGTGCGTGTCCAACCAGTCTTAGGACTGACAACCGCACGATGATGATGATAACTTTTAGTTAATTTAAATCAATTAACACAGTATATTAGTTGGTAGGTAAGTGCATAAAAACTATACAAATACATACATATCGATGTTAAAACGATTAATAGGTACTGTCCTTGACCTCCTTATTACAAATCCTTTTCGAAATTGCGTACTTAGAAATAAATTAGATATCTATNTCCATATATATATATATACACATAAAGAATATTATTAAGCGAATCTTTGCAACATATGCTGATGTTGGGAAATTTTTTTATAGTGAGTGTGTGACACACTTTTAATTATTGCAAATGATCTAATTAGCAAACAATAAATTAAAAAATAGGTGTAGTAAGGATTCAAAGAAACATGAAAACAGGAACATTTTCTTACTTATAGAGATCAATAGGACATTTGTAAATTTTCGATCAACATTACTTATATTGTTTTCAATCCGAAAACTGGCTGGACACGTATAGATATGTATTGAGAAAATTTTCGCATTTTTCGAAAACTGGAACAAATCTTGTACATTTCCAACTGTTTGCGAACAATAATATAATCTAGGTATGCCTTTTCCCCTCTTAATTCCTGTTTCTGCTTCTACTATGTTTCTTAATTACTTAGCTCTTCACATCTGAGGTGTCCTATCGACCTATCTCCTCTCTTTCTTATTGACATCCACCACATCGTCCTCAGCTCTTTTACCGATCGTTCACGTTTCTCATCCAAAAGGAGCCGTGTTCCAAAACTCCATACATTCTGATTTTTTTTTCGGATTTTGAAACTAACCGATCATGGGTAGGTAGAAAAGCTTTTCTAGTGTTTTCTATGTATATTATCCTCAGCGGGTTTTCCACCCTAATGAGTTTTCTGACTTCCTAAATATCGAAAATCGACCAGTTCTACTTCTAGTTTTTCATCTCCTAATTCTAGTCTGTAGATTCAAGTGTAATATTTTGATAAACCGAGGAACTGTTTCAAGAAAATTGCAAACGACGCTGACAACGCGACTCTCAGCGACGGCCGACGGCGCTGGGATCTATAGTACATTCAGAATTCTACCACAGTATGTTCCGGTAAAAAAATTGTATTGTAGTATGTAAAATACCTGTCCTTCGTGTGGATGGTGTAAAATTGGGCAGTGAGGTACTGTAGATATACACATCACAAGTACTTTAACAATTTTAAAAAAAGTAACTTACGCTGGGCATTATATGGGATGATTGAAGGGCGGCTGTTCTGCTGGATGTGAAATTTAACGCTTCAGGAATCTCGTTCATCTTTAGGGCACTTTCACTAACTAATTATTATTCATAACTGATATTGAATACGCTGAATGCAAATTTACGAACTTAATTGATAGAAACGCACACAGTACTTGATGTTTTTTATTGATGTTTATTACTAACGGTAAGAGTACAGAGTATTTATTTACGTTGTTTTTTTTTCACAAGACCGTGGGAAAACAAACAAAAAAATTTAAAAATATGATAAACACATAAACGTTTATAAATACGCGAGCGCACCAACAGAAATAATAATTTATTTTAATAATAAAATATGCGAAAAAGAAGTTCGGGGTAAGTACTACCTACGGATTAGTAAGTCTAAAGTCGCGAGCCGCGATACACCGTTGCGCGTCCGCCGCGTCCTGTAAAACATTGGCTGAACATTGGCCGCTCCAATAATAAAAAAATGCGTATTTTGTAAACAATACGACTTCGTGCGGCATTTGCACCGACTTCTAAAAGAGCCCACACTTTTGGCCGCGCACTCGCAGTACTTGTACGAACCAGTCTCCACGGGTGCTATCAAGGGGGCCGGCCTGACACCCCACCAAACCTAACGTTACACGATCAAGCGCCGCCTCCCTATTATAATGTCTCAATCCCAGCTAAAACCCTAAAGTAATCCGGCTTTTATGGTGTACGTATAGCCATAATTACAGCCATACTTAAGTGCCCATACGGGCCAACCCCTTTCTCGTTAGATACTTCTAACTGTGGTAAAGGCACCTAATTAGCATGCATGTTTGTGCCGCACTCGGTTTACCATGACAAAAACGCCACTTTTCAGGTAAAGACGGTTGAAAAACGGTAAAAGGTGCGTAAAATGCCGTAAAGGTGGTCCATTTACTTGTAAAGGAGTCGGGTTTTGTAAAATTTCATTCGGCCTTATGAATAAAAATGGCAAAAACGCGTTTTTACCTTGTAACGCACAGGGCTGCAACTGCAATCGGGAATTAGCTGGAATTACCTGAGACGTCTAACCAAAGATTGAAACTAACTAAATGACCTTCTTCAGATGACTAGACAATTCTAGTAAAGGAGTAGATAAACGAAGTATTAATGTTTTCTAGGGTGGTAGACCGTACTCAATGGTGTGTGTCGAAAACACTTGTGCTTAATTAATAAATTTGCAATGGGGGTGTAGATTCCCATTACACAAGAGCCTTCGTGAGGTAATTAGATAACTACAAAATGGTACAAATGCTGTAAAAAATATAGTACCTACAAATATTACGTAGCAATATTTAATTATAAATCAGGATTTTATTTAGGGGGGTTGTCCAGAAAAAGGTGCATTCAATCTTTTGCTAGTACACTTACATACTGGAGGTAACCAAGGTAAGGGAAAAACGCCCCAGGACCGTTTTTTTGAGGGTGGCCGAAAATTTGGAACTTATCAAAATATAAAAAGACATTTCGAAAGAAAAAAAAATTGGCGGTCCCATTACTCTGTAGTTTCGGAACCGAATTTTCTCTCGGAGCAACTGCCCCATCTGGTCCTACATAGGCACTTAAGCATATATTTCTGCAGATATTACGTTAGTTACCTATATTACTAGAACTGAAAACGGAAAAATTGAATGATTTCGATATTGCTGACCAGGCAATAACCTATAAAAATAATAGTAAGTGTTACAAAACACACATTCGTACAATTACACCTACAAAAATACCTAATAGGTAGACATACTCTTACAATAAATTGCCTTGTGCTTAATCAGCAACATTTCAACACGACACACTTTTTATACATAGATACATCATAACATCATATATACTACAATTACACACTATTAATAAATTAGTTCAAAATAAAGGAACGATAGATATGTGCATGTAGATGTAAAATGAAAAAAAAAAAAAAGAAAAACAAACAATAAAGCACGTTGCAAGAAGTGAAGGATCGCGTTACCTTGGTCCCTGGACGTGTCCGATTGCACGATCGATGATGATGGTCTTTTTAGTCCGTGACGTTTCGAACGAATGAACCGACCAATTTTCATGTCCGTTTCATATCGTTCTAGGTATTACAGTTCTATATAATACTACTTCCACATAATAACGTACCTACATATATAGATCATTGAACTAAACTTTTGATTTTGATCTTCGAACGTGATTTAAATCGAATCGCGAGAATGTAATGCTATCCTTATAAATAATTCTAGGAACTAATGACCACTTGACCGTGCAAGTTAAAGCTGCACGTGTTACACCTTAACCAGGGACTTTATCAGCTTCTTTTTTCGTATGCAGGGGCCAAGGGTGGCCCACACCGTAGTAAATTTTAAGTTCTGTAGAACCCATGAGGCCTTCGATTGCGTAAAAATGGCAGCACGTCTTCTTCCGACTTCATATTTACAAATATTGAAATTTTGAATTGAAAACATATATTTTTATCAAATAAACAAAATACAGTCTGCATTGGTCACAGAAATAATTTAGTATTTTAATAGTCGATTAATTTTTAGAAGCGGTTCAGTACTTCTTCTAGGACTACTCCCGTACATACAAACAAAGTTTACCCTTTATCTTTTTCTGCAACTTACAAAAATACTTGATACTTGTAAAACTATAATATAACAAAGAAATTAAGAATTAATATGAAAAACATCAGTTTCTGCTAATAATTGAAATATTCTGGAAGTAATTGATGAGAAAAAATATCTCCTAATGTCTACAATTATTGCAAACAAATAATGTTAAAACTCAAGTAGCCTACATAACTCATTGGTTTTCAACCTTTGTATTTCCTCGTCTTCCTTTTTTACAAAAAAATTGTTGCGCGTCTCAATTTTCCTAATAATTTAACTTTATAAATATTCATCGAGAAGATTATGCTAGGGCTCAGCTTGAAGGGCACTGATTTGATTTTTTTTATGGGTTTTGTGTATTGTGAAAAGTATTTGCTTTATTAATCATTAAAACAAAGAGAAGCACAGGAATGTTTTCACAAAAGTACCCATATTACGAACCAAATGGGAAGAAAGTGCCGCGTTCCCGGATGACCGGTGTGATTCGCCACCCAATCCAAAGGTACCTGAGGGTAGAAACTGCCCAGATAGTACAATAGTTGAGATTTCGTCCCTGAAACATCATAGGTACCTTGGGTTGGGGATTATAAGAAATATTTATTATCTGGATAACATTGTCCCAGTCATTATCAGGAGTACGAATTTACTTTATTAAACATATTTCACAACAACAGTTCCGTTGAAAGTTTGAATTTATCACCATTTGATAATACCCTAAGTAGTTGGATTTCTCGATTTAAACTCACAAACCCTACGTAAAATTTAAAGTAAACAATAGAGCAATTTTATTAATATACATCAAAACAAAAAACTTTTTAGGCACCTTAAAAACTACATAAAAATGCCATTTTGTCATTTTGTATTCGGAATATACTTTTGGGAACAATTTTGCACATTAAAATTATATTTAAATAGGGAATATTTTGCATCAGTTCAAATATATCGTAGCAGTTAGTTTCTCACATGTAATGGTTGTTCCGATTTTCAGTAAAATGGTCATTTTTTGAATTTATTTACCTCCCTTAAAAGTGACAGCTACTTCTTGAAATAGCGACCCTGCTATACTTGTGTTATGCTTATTGCGTATATATTACATATGAACGATTTCGGCCCACAGTCAACGGTAATTCCAGGTAAAATCATAGCGGTGTCTTATTCCGTCGTGGGCCTTTTTCAGGAAATGATTTTGATTCTGTTGTATATATAATAAAACCTTTAACAGAAGGTCTTCCAATCGCAAACCATTATTATTTACTAACTACATGAACGTACTATACAATTCATTTTCAATTAGGGGTGTTCTTTATTAGAAAATCAGTTTTCGCAATCTCAGCAAAGGACTTCAATAAATAATTATGAACAGTAGAATTCGTTTATTATGACTCCGCCTATATTGACCAACCGCTTAATATGAAGTAATTGAAGTGTTAAGTTTGGTTTTCATATTAACTTCTCTATAAGAAAGTTTGGATATAATGATATCGTTTACTACGACTGATTCTGAAGAAATCATATCCGGCTATAGTGGCCCAAATGAGTAATAATAACATTTTCGCTCATTTTTCTGATCCTTCTTATGTATATTGATATTACAATTCATCGTTCTTTTTCTTCTTCTGTTAATAAATATATACAATTTGCAGTTTTTCTCTCTAGTAAACTAAATAACTAACTAAAATACAAAGTTATTCATTTTCTAAGACTATGCTTTGTCTGACGCCCGCTTAATATGGCGTGTTTTTGTTATTTTCCTTCAATGTCATTATAAGCGGATTCTACTGTATACTATTGGTAGAAAATTTGTTCATGCGCTATAACTGATGAACTTCAGTGTGTATAAAATATAATTTTTCGTAACCATAATCCTGGAATAACATTATTAAAAGTATCGAAAACAAACTAGCTTCTTCCTTGTTATTATTCGCAGATGTTGTTATCGATTGAACGAAATTAAATTTGAGTTCGTTTATTATTGAAACGTACTAAGCAGAGCTATTTGAAGAGAACGCGGTTTGGTTTCCTTGATGAAAATTCTCTCTTTCTGTTTGCCCACGCAAAGTTGAACATTTTTTTTTCAATAAAACCGAAGCAGAGCTATGTTCATTGCTTGACCCTTTCTTCCTTTTAGGAGTAATTATTTTTTAAGGACTTAATTGAATTAAAGGGAAGAATAATTTAATTAATACCGTAGGTTTTGTGATATTAGAATATTAGGTCTCTGTGGTTAATAATGTAAATTATACAAAGTAAACATAAATATTTTGATACATTTACCCACATTTTATTTAAAATTCACCTAATTAAAATTTTACCGTAAAGGTTGTGTTGAATTTAATATTTGTCGTACATTAGTATTTGTAACATTTACTTATAAACGTTGACTAATTTAAGATTGCTTAAAAAGTGACAGGTATGTTGTGTACCTCAAGGTCATAGTTGAAAATAAGTACGTATGTATATGTATCGTACATTTTAGTTGATTAATTGTTTCGTTAAAATTTGATGACTTGTTGTTACCGTTGCGAAGAGTTGGTTTAGTGGCTTTGTATAACTGCGAATTTGTAACTAGAGCGCGAACTTTTAAGAAGAGGTGAATCAATGGGTGCAATTTATGCGCAGAAAGTGGATGTTGACCTATTTATTTTTCGTATGGATGTGTCGTTTTAAAACACCGAGGCTTTTAGAAACTGTACCACTTCCTCAATTACCCTATAAGCGAATGCTAACATTCAAACCACAATTGCACAGGATAGTGATTTTGTCGGGTACCTATCCCACTACANTTTGATTAAAATTATCTTTTTTTCTTTAATGTTAAAAAGAACCAAAACACCCTGAAATTTTTATCTGTCTGTTACAGCATGATATACTGTCTGATTTCTACGTGATTTGGTTCAGCAATGGGATGAACAACGTTTCAGCAGATAGAAATGTAGTACAAGGGATTTTGGTTCTTGTCATTTAAGTCTCATGAATATTATCAAAATAACGCGAACTTTGAAATTTCTTTAAATCATACTTTTTACAATACGTACACACAATAGAAGATATATAATAATAAATTTATTTATTTAACGCGTAATTATGTACAATAGGTATTTAATCAGCATACAGTACAGGCGAATAGGGAACCGAACATTGGGATATTTTGTTATTACTTGAATTGGCGTATCAAATGGGGTGGGGGGGGGCAGGTAGACCCACCGTTGAATCATCCTAGCCCACCCTAGAATATCAATTAATTAAATGCAAAAGCAAGATAAATCTACAAGCATTTACATATATTCTTTTGGCACCCGTGGAAAAAAATTGTTGCTACGCCTATGATTACCTGTAATCTGAAAGGGTAGCATCATCTTTTGGAAAATACGAAGTTGTATACGAAAATTCGTACAAATACTTTAGCCATCTTTTCGTATATTAATTCATAATAAATGCCAATAAATGCAATTTAAGGGGTCTCGCGACATAAAAAGTAAAAATGTTGTTAAACAAATGTATAATTTCTATATTCGGTAAACATCTTGCCTTATCTGTATAGATATGATGAATATTAAATTTTCTAAAGCCGTTTCGTCGATGTGCATAAATGCACTGATTTAAAGCTCACATTGCCTTTTCGATATTATTGATGGGGTAAAACGACACCTTTAATGATGTCGATTAGCGATTACATTAGGAATGCCAAGTAGTAATAATAATTGTTATTAAGATTACGTTTGAATCGACTTGCGTTCACCGTATAAAAATGCCTTCGCAAGCGTCCAGGCATCCACCAGCAGTGCATACCTGAACCCATTTATACCTGTAAAAAGTGGTGGCATAAATGTTGGTAGGTACCTATGGTGGCTGGGTTTATTTTTTTTTTGTTTTTTTTACTTTTTGTTTCACTAGCTCGGGTCATTAACGGACGTTGTATGTCAATTTGCTGGGTGTTGCTTTCGAGAGTCACGTTACTAAAGACACCAAACAAAAGGAAACATAAACCGCGCGCTGTTGGTTTTTTTTAATGTGACGCCGTAAATTTCAAATTGGTTTTTAAACAATAACAAGCGCGGTCCTGTTGTAATATACTTGTTCGGAACACGCGCGGCTCGCAAGAATTACGGTTGACCTGTCAAACGAACAACGTTCCCATTGTATCGTATACATTCGTGTGTAACCTTAATACACACCGGTATAAAATTGCGGTATTACGGTGCTGCTTTATTAACATGCCTCGTTTCCATTTTTATTATTTATGTATAGTAATATTATTTAGAGATTGCCTTTGAAGCAACTATTCAATGACGTACGGCGCGTATTCTGTCTTTCGTACTGAAAAATGGAATGTACGTATGCACATTACGCATCGTACAAATTTATTATGTTTTTCGATTACCCTGCTTGACTAGTTACATTTAAAGCCATGAGATAATCTGTAATTATTCTCGAACATACGTACCTATATCATAGTTTCTACGTTACAAATGAATTCAAATGTGTTGTTGCCATTATTTTTGGATTAGTTCGTACAGACTATGCCGATGACGTAACACAATCTTTGGTTAATTGTACGGTATATCGTATATTTATATAACATTGAAATACGTTTAGCTTAAAAGCGATATTTAAATATTAAAATATAGTTCATTAACTTTAATAGAAAAAGAGATTTAGTACAAAAAATACCGATTATCAAAAGTTTTTAGGCGTTTTATAATTGCAAGATAATTAACTAATTAGGGAGCATGTTGTTGAATGCATGTGAATAATATATTACGTAAATTTAAAATTGTTCATATAAAATATTTGTTTTACATAGGAATATAACTTTTATTCGAAATTTTGGATTTTTTTTTATTATATTCCGTTGATTGAACTTAGCTCGGATAAACTATGCAATATGATATGTAGAGTGTATGTTGGGTTGCATATTCCTGATTATAACGACAAATTTTTTATTAGCCTATATTTTACTTAAATAATATTTATATGAGTTGGTTTATCATCCCAGTAATACTATTAAAAGATTTTTTGGCACACCATGTCTTTCTTATTTGTAATTGTATCGAAAAAACAAAAATTATTTTTAAGACCGCTACTGATTGCGTGACTGTAGCGTTTAGACACATCCGTGTTCTAAATGTATGATGGCGGATTAGATATGAGCCAATCAGATGGATTGAAAGTAAAAAAAAATAATTTGTAAATATAACCTCACTTCATACAAGAAATCAGACAAAAAGGGCTTATCAGTTCAAGCGGTGATATGGCATTCAATTTTCCAGCTCTTTCATATATTATTGCTTTAATAATCGATGCGTTTTTGATTTTCTTTTCACTTTTTCATGTAATAGCTTTCGACGAACTTAAAAATGATTATAAGAATCCAATTGATCAGTGTAATGGGTTAAATCCAGTAAGTACAAAGTAATAGTAATTCAAAAAGTAATTGTACTGCTTGAATGTTGTAATATTATCAAACAAAACTTTTTTTAGTTAGTTTTGCCAGAATACATACTCCATATTTTATTCAACGTATTATTTGCCTTTGCTGGAGAGTGGATTTCTTTATTGATCAATATCCCTCTAATTGCATATCATATCAATCGGTACAGAACAAGACCAGTAATGTCTCAACCTGGTTTGTATGACCCTACCAGTATAATGAATGCTGATGTATTAGATCGGTGTAGAAAGGAAGGATGGATAAAGTTGGCATTTTATTTATTATCATTCTTCTACTACCTTTATGGGTATGTAATAGCTTTAGAAACAATTAATGAAAATACCTGATATTTATCTTAAACAATTAATTATTGTATTATTTGTAAATAAGTAAGATAGTAATATGAAATTGATAGACCCTGTGAACAGGTCTATACTAAGTTTATTGTTATTACTCTTTCTGCAATGGCCATTTTTGAAAATGTTACACTGGTCTAAGTAGGTTTAAGTGGAAATGAAGGTTTAATATGGAAATGAAATAACATCTAACTTTAAAAAATCACAAAGTAAAGTGTGCCTAATATCACTTATAATTAAACGAAAGCTCTTGATTTTTAACCTTTATTTCAAAAATTTCCCATCCATTTTATATTAGTATTTAGTTTTCATTATTATTAACAATTTGAGAATAAGTTCATTGGAAGTAGCAATACATTGACTTTAAGTTACCAATTTTATTACAATGTGCACTTATTTGATTAAAATTATCTTTTTTTCTTTAATGTTAAAAAGAACCAAAACACCCTGAAATTTTTATCTGTCTGTTACAGCATGATATACTGTCTGATTTCTACGTGATTTGGTTCAGCAATGGGATGAACAACGTTTCAGCAGATAGAAATGTAGTACAAGGGATTTTGGTTCTTGTCATTTAAGTCTCATTTAAATTATCAAATTCCTTTAATTGATCAACTTCCTTTTCTGTACTTTTTCTTCCATAGTATTTATTCACAGTTTTACACACATCTACTCATTACAAATACCTATTCAAATTTGTTTTTTTTTTTACTTAAAATAAATTATAACAACATTGATTTTGTTGTGATATTGTATAATTAAATTTATATAAAATATTAAATTTAAATTTGTAATGTCAGCATATTTACAAAATCAACAATTCCATTCATCCTACATCTTTAAAAAGAATCCCTATTTCATGCCACTATAAAAATCTACATAGATTAAAGTAAAATAAATAGCAATATTGTCAATGTTTCATAAAAACTTAATGCTCCTTAATATTTAATAGTGTTTCTTAATTTAACTGAAAAAATATATGTAAATTACATTCATTAGGTGGAATGTGGTACAAAGAAAATAAATTTCCTTTTTTCAAATGAACGTTCAAATATTTTTGTAGTTGCTGTTAAATGTATTGCTAAGAGTGGTAATGCTTAATTGTCTTTTTATTTTCTATTTAGTTTTTCATGAAGCCAATCTTGTGTTAGTTCATCCAATTCTCTAATTTCATATGATCTTGAAATATCTGCTTCAGTTTGTAAAGCAGTTTTTGATCCTGCATACATCATTTGTAATTCCCTGTGACTGTCTCGAGGTGTATAGTAAATAAATACCAAAGGATATGAAATACGACCATCATCATGCACTTGTTTATATGAAAGAATTATATAACGGGGTTGATGCTCTTGAAGAGTTTCTCTCAATTCTTCTATACTAGTACCTTCAAATATTTCATCTACTAATATTTCTTGTTTTTTACGGTCAATTTTCACTTGAAAAAGACGGATTATGTATTATAAACCATAGCATTTGTAAGTTACATGGGAGTAAAAAGCCTTACATATAATTGCTGAGGTATCATCCCCTTTCCTAAAGCGAAAGTTCTTGATGGTTTCTTTAACCTGTGGAGTAATATCACACATAGGCCTGCTTCCTGACTGCAATTTTATTCTGTTAGGAAATAGCTTAAAATCTTAAATTACTACGTACCATTTTTACTTTATTGGTTGTAGTGGGAAAATTCTTATCTTCAC